CGTGATCTGATCTTTCTTGGCTCTGACTTGGTGACTCTGTAATATTGACTATGCACTGTGGACAGGATATTTCTTCTCCAGCTTCGATACAATGAATCCACAGATGTAATGCAGCACATACATAGTGAACTCCAAGTGTTCTGCTACTTGCAAATGTTGCATCATGGCATGTATTTGGCTGTCGTCTTCATGGTCATCCCTGTGGTAGGCTTGTCTTTCAAAGGAGAACGATGCTTTTGGGTATGCAAGACTGGCACTACAGAATGCTGATCTAGGATCTGACAATTTGCATTTCGCGATGCAGTGATTGAATTCTTTAGCAACATTCTTCGGAGCGTGTACTTCAGTTGAAGGCAATTGGGGTTGTTATTCCATCCACCTCTTGCACGAATACACGAGAAAAGCAGCTCTATGTGGTCCTGCGAGAATTTATAGGTCAGGAGGTATTTGAATGGATTGACTTGCTGTGTTAGCATGGTTGTGGCCATCTCAATGGTAGACTTGATTGTGACCACGAAGCCCAGGATGAAGGTTTTCCTCTTGTGTTTAATCAACAGTTGACCATCACCTGACTTTAATGACAGCAAGTAATTTGCAATCTCTAAAAGTTCTGCTTCCCAGGTATTCTTGTTTATCAACTTCAAAGGTTGCTTGCTTCTCTTTCCCAAAGGATTCCTGGAGTTAAGAATATCAAAGACCTTATCTAAATGGCGGATGAATGTGACTGTGGCTTCACTGTTGTGGAATCTGGGATCTTTTTCAGCGATGTTCAGAAAATCGATGGCATCAGCAACAGATGTACTGAGGGTTTGTGCAGCAAGGTCTACTTTCATCTTGTGCTTCTCGTACTTGATGTGATTGGTGGTTAACTTATTGGCGAGCTTCATGCCGTGGTTTTCTTGTACTTCATTCAAATGCTTGAAGAACTTCCAATGGATTCCTTCATTTTGCACAAATATTGATTCGAGGCTTGCTAGGGTATTTCTTGCAAGCTTCAGCATGTGACAAGGATCCAGCACAACAAAAACATCATAACCAAGCGTTGGATGTTTAAACTTGGTTATCATGGATTTGTATGTCAATCCAAATACACAACCAAGCAGCTTGAAGGTAGCAATATTGGATGAAGTGCCATCAGATGTAATGCACCAGACCTTGAGACCAATTTCAGCTGTTAGGATTAAAGCTTTTCGAACAAGTTCAGCCTGAACAGATGCTGATAGCTTATCGATGAGGAAATATGCAATGGGGCACTTCCAGTGACTGCGTAATCCAACCAGTGCAAAAACTAGGGCCTCCGAAGCCATAACTTCTGGTGATTCTATCTGTGCTAGGCCATAGTTTACAAAGCCAACAAATTCATCCAGTTTTGGATCCCACATTGTTTGTTTCCTGATTGCCATTGCATCAAACACCAGACAGCAGTCTATCTTCTCTGGATGGTCTTCAATTTCACATCTCAGGATGTTCAAAGCCTCGGTTATGAAGCCAGGTTCACAGTCCACTGATCTTGCCCAGCGTTTAATCAGCGAGGGAGCAGGGAGGGGAATGATGGTTCGCAGGAAGTCATAGGCAGCTGGTGAGTAGAAATGTATTGTAACTGCAAACTCTTTAATTTCCTCACTGTATCTTCTACCACCTGGTGGTGCCTTGTTGTTCTTCATAGCATTGTTAAACAAGGATAGACTGAGACCATCAAAGTTATTATGCAGTAGTTCTGCTTCCTCTTCTTTGATGAACAATTTCTTTTTCAGAGTGTTAATGAGCTGTTTCATGTTTCTTGCTTTGCTTTCTCGTCGTCTTAGCTTTTGCTGTAATGCTTTTATTCGTCGCCGTTTAACTTCTCTCATGTATTGACATGGGGTTTTCTTTGCTTTTACTGGTTCAACCACGTGTGAAAACTGTGGGGGCTTGGCATAGTTATGGTCACTCATTACATCTCTTACTGAAGGACCTTCTTGTTCCATGGGGCTGGATTGTTCCAAACTTCTCTCTTGCTTTAAACATAGTTCTAGTTCCTTTATGTCCATTCTTTGGAGGTGTGATATTTGATGATTATTAGTATTGATGGTGAGGGATTGTGTTGGCACAGCATCTTTTTTTAGAACAGTTGATCCATTTTTGGTTGTTGTATAATCAGAGATCGAAAAATGATTGCTACATATGCGGCTGAACTTGCTTGCTTTCCAGGGATTTCCTTGTCTATCAACTTTATTTATTGCTTTTTCCCACTTTGTGATTAAATCTGTATTTTTCACTGGGAATCTATTTAATGACAAATTGCATTTTTTTTTCTTGTGCCTTGGATTTTACACTTTTATGCGGTTAGGTCAACTGTATACTTTAAATTAATGAACCATACACTTTTATACTTGGATTTAACATATTAAAGGCCATCATATATAATTATGAATAGAAAAATAAAGCAATTTATTATTCAAAAGGTTGTTTTTTTGTGTTTATATTTTTATAAATTTTTATATTTCACAAAAACGACTTCGTCAAACAGAAGTTTCTATTTGCTCTGAGAACAGTAGCGTAGCCAGCCCGACAATTTTGTCCCGCTATGCAAATGTCAAATCATTGTCATTATTTATTCTTTAGAAATGCATTGTTTTTTTACACTCTGTGAACACGGTAAAATTAGCATAGCCGGACGAAATCGTCGGGCTGACACGCTACTGTCTGAGAATAATGATCAACTACAAACTGTATCTGAACAAAATAGTACGGGAAAAAATGACAGACAATTGCTTTAGTTAAACCATGATAGGGTCATGATAAAACGGCGAAATGTTGATTATATTTGTCAGTTACGATAACAACAACAGTCGCCATTTTTCTTTCTTCCCAAGAAAAATTCGCGCGCTTTTATTGTAAACTGATTTAAAGCCCCCAAAACAAAACAAATTTAAAGCCCCCGGCCCCAAACAAAATTAAACATAGGCGCATACATTAGGTAGACCAATGAAATTCTTTAGGGATGCTTTTCAACTATAAATTCTATAAAGCTCGCGTTTTATACAATACTTTCATAATTTATTTTACAGTAAAATTATATTTACCTGTGAAAAAATACAGGCCTATTTTCCTTTTTTCGGTCGTTGCTTTTACAGCGGGGTACCACGCAATAACGTGGCATTTTTATCAACTTGCAGTTGTTTCACATTTTGAATTTCCTATCAGCTTTTTACACTAACGCCTAATATATTTTTGCTTGGGAACAGTACGTAGAAAAGATTGAAGAAAGTAGCAGGCCTTTGCATTTTAAATTTCCCGCGCCTTAGTTGACCGCGCGAAAAAAACGCGTTTGGGAGACTGAGAATGACGCCCAAGAAAGCTTTATAAGCCGCCATTTTTGGCTTCACTTATAGATACTGGAGGTAACCTTCCATGTTATACAGTTCAGTGGTGGGACTCGGCATATAATTTCTTTGGCTGAAGATGTGTATAGCCATCAACCACGCAGACTTGACTGCGTTTCGCTAAGTAAGATTGGAACCATTCTAGCTCTAAATTTTGAACGCTCGTACAACTTCTTTAGTAAGATTTTATGATCAATAGAGTCAAAGGCTTTCTTAATATCAACTGAAATTAATCTGGTTATTTCTCCATTGTCCATATTTTCAATCCACTTATCACTCATTTGTAATTATAAGGACAATTTCGAATGTTTGGGTCGGAAGCCCGATTGAAAACGTGAGAGCAGAGTGATCTATCGGGTATTGATAAAGTTGACCAAATTATTATTTCTCAAATAGTTTACTAATTATGGGAAGAATAGATATTGGGCGGTAGTTCTCACATTTCGTTCTATCTTCTGATTTATAAACAGGTGTTACCCTAGCTATTTTCCAATCGTCAACAAATATACCAGGTATAATAATATTGCTAGATAATTTCAATATTCTTGCAGGGATCCCGTGAACCCCGGTTGCCTTGGATGTTTTTAGATAATTTAAGTTTTTCAGAATGTTAAATTCAGTGATTATGTGGAAGTGAAATTGTGAATTTGCCTCATTTTAGTCACGGTGGAGGTCTTCGTTATCGGATGAACATTCACATTCAGCAGCAAGGGTCGGGCCGATATTAACAATATCCGTGGCCTTCGTCGAGCTCGGTTAACAGTTGATCATGCAACTTAGACATTAGACTTCCTTTTTAAAGTGAACTGTCAGTTCATCTTTCCGCTGGTAAAACGGTTTAATCAACAAGACTCTTGTACTTCAGCTGACGTAGCCTCCGGTCTCACTTTTGATTATTTGTTTACAACCGAATTTAAAAGATTCAAAACGTTTTTCCGAGTTGGCAGAGTGCCCCTCAACTTGCTTTGCAAAAAAGCAACATCCTTGTTTAGAATTAGCCAAAATCTGCGCCCACATGATGTAGTAGATCTCTGAGGCTGTTAATTTAAAATGATGTCCTTTTGTCTGCAGAGTTGTTTAGTCTTATCACGGCTGATTTCGTACTATCTAGATCATTTTTTGCTTTTCGTAATTGGCTTTCTAGTTTTTCTACGTTTTTGTTAATGTTTGCTCCACTAGATTTTTGATTCGCGTGCTTTGAAAGTATTCCGCACGATAATGCAGACTTTCAAGGACTAAAATGACATGATTTTCTGGTATGTCCTAATTTCAAATGACAATTTCCGCATTTTGACAAATGTCCGGTGTTTTGCATGTTCGCCCTTTCTAGACTGTTATCAAGTTCTTTGAGTTCGACTTTTTTCGCCGTTAATTTTTTCTCGATGTTTTAAACAATTTCCCCATACCTCTTGACGTGTCGGTCTAAAGGTAAAACTGGTCTTTCAGATTTTGCTTCGTGTTCAGGATTTGACTTTATTGTGGTACTACAACCAAGGTTATAGCTGTTGTCATTCACACACAAAATCTTCAGCTTTCCTTGTTTATCAACGTTGTTTTGTGCAATGTTTTGTTGAGATATATCTAGACAACGTCTGCTTCGAGATTTTTCTGTCAATTGTTTACTTTTGCTGCTCGATGGCTGTGCAGGTAGAGGCGAGTCATTGACGGCAATACGAACGAGTCAACGAGCAACTAAGCAATTAAAATTGTAGTGCTGACGCAATTTTGACTGGTCATATGATTCTGTAGCTGGGTCTACACCATGGCACAAGTCAGTTGCAATGGCTAATGCAAATAAGCCAGAGTAATTAGAATTTAGTTGCCTTTTTCATTTATAAATGTTACGTTGTCCCCAGAAAACACAAGCATTTGACAAGCATGGCGGATTGCAATGGTATTTGCCGTGTTGTACAGTTTAACAGTGCCAGGACTAAATGAAATGGTACTCATGCAAACCCAGTGTGCACCAGTGTTAATAATCTGTACAAACTGACTCATAGCTGGTGTTGCCAAGGCCACTCTCACAGCAAGATTACTCAGACCATCGACAAGAAGAAATTCCATTTTGAGAAGCAGTTGTCCAGCGTGTATTTCAGAGTCACATAACCATCCTGATTTATCTAAAATGTTCAGCTTAGAGACTTGGTACAACGTAACATTTGAGTCAAGATGTTCCAAATGTTGGATAGTCAACCATGTCTCAGGATCTGGTGACTCTATAGTTATTATACTCTATGCATGGTTTTTGTGGCACATTCCATTCCATTCAATGCACATTCCATGTTTTCATACATACCATCTTGCTTTTAAGTCTCGCATCTAAGTCTTCCTTGTCTTCTGTATTCCAAGGACCTACTAGGCTCTGCTGGTGATTTTTGCCATTCCTTTCCAAATCCATGTTATTATTTTCCGAGTTGGCAAACAGTGTGTGACTGATATCTTGCTCCAACAAAAGGTTGAATTTTCTTTGTTTTTTCTTCGGGGTCAAAATCTCTATAGTATCATTATTCTTCCTCTTCAGACTTAAGCGAAGCGGGAGTCTTGCATAGTCTTTCGATTTCTTTTTTGCCAGTTCACATTTTCTTAGTAAGATTTTGCAGTTCTTTAACATTTCCCTGCAACATTTGCCTTCATGCTGTGGATTAGTTATAGGTTGCTCCTCTGATTTATTACAATCATCATCAGATTCACTTGACGAAAAGTCATCAACATGTGTGGCTGTATCGAATTTCTCGCTTAGTGAGACATTATCAGGAATATCATGTGTTGATAAGCTTTGTGAAAGAAATCTCTGAGTCGATTGGGACAACTGCAGAATCTATTTTAAAGTATACACTAGCCTTGTATAGGATAGTGACATTGCTTCCCAGTTCCATTCAGAAAAGTGTTTGTAGATTGCTAGAAAATGCTTGCAAGGCCAGTGGTGTTTTTTGCCAGTCGTAGCAACTGCATGATGGCATGCATGGTAGTAAGGTCACCAAACTGAACACAGTAGGACGTGTCACTTTTGCTCTGGCTTTTAATCGTAAACTCACCATAACTCTTAGGAATGACACTAGATCTTTCTAACGTGTCGGTTGAGGATTATACAATTACTTAATGGTTTCCGTGTTTGGATGGCCTGATCCAAACACGCGGGAATGTTGCGAGAGTTAAGAAAAGCGCGCGAAACACGAGCCGAAGGCGAGTGTTTTGCGAGCTTTTCTTAACTCGAGCAACATTCCCAAGTGTTTGGATCAGTTCATCCAAACACGGAAACCATTAAGTAATTGTTTTATAAAATAACAAACCATAATAAATTTGTTTTGTTTTTACCCGCGAAATTTCCGTGTTTGGATGGCCTGATCCAAACACGGGCTTCAACCAATCAGAACACGCGTTATATACATGTTATTTTATAAAAGCGCTTCTGACAATGCATGACAAACTGCCTTAGTCGGTTATGGAGCCACTTCGGAAGCGAGATGTTGTATTGACGATACGCACTTGCACAACGAATATTACTTTCAACATACCTTAAAAATAATATGATTGAATAAATATATATAAATTAATTCATTAGTAGGTAATTTTTATAACATATAATTCCGGAATATCCAAGTCGAAGAAGCTGTCCGTTTGTGCAACATTTGCCTGCCGGATATATTATTAGTAGAAAGTTTAGGCACTTCGTTGAATCGCATACAGTGTAAAAAAAACTACTGTTGTACAACAGCAGCAGAGTGCAAAGCATGCCCCATTGCATATTGCAAATCCTCTCAGGAAGCCATGTTGTATTCATCCAGTCTTGGAGTTTCTTATTATTTTTCCAAATTTCATTAATAATCAATTCAATCTTAGCACAATCTAATTCAATCTTAGCACAATCTTGGAAAACCTTGGCAAGATCCTGCAAAAGCTTTGCAAGATCCTGTAAAATCTTCGCAAGATCTTGGAAAACCTTCGCAAGATCATGAAAACCCTTTGCAAGATCCTCTAAAATCTTTGCAAGATCTTTTAAAACCTTGGCAAGATCCTGCAAAATCTTGGCAAGATCATGCAATACCCAGGGAAGATCATGCAAAACCTTGGCACGATCATGCAAAACCTTGGCAAGATCATGCAAAACCTTGGCAAGATTATGCAAAACCTTGGCAAGATCATGCAAAACCTTGGCAAGATCCTGCAAAACCCTGGCAAGATCATGCAAAACCCTAACAAGATCATGCAAAATCTTAGCAAGATCATGCAAAACCTTGGCAAGATTATGCAAAACCTTGGCAAGATTATGCAAAACCTTGGCAAGATTATGCAAAATCTTGGCAAGATCCTGCAAAACCCTGGCAAGATCTTGCAAAACCTTGGCAAGATCATGCAAAACCCTGGCAAGATCATGAAAAACCCTGGCAGATCATGCAAAACCATGGCAAGATTATGCAAAACCCTGGCAATATCCTGCAAAATGCTTAGATCCAGATTTGATTAGGGAAAAAACAGATATAATACTCTGTTGTCGTAAAAATAACTTTATTAACAACATACCGTGTACTTTAATAACATTGAATAATAATAGTAATAATAATATGGCATTGTTTATTATGTTCATTTCTTATCATCAGTGGTTACACCACTACATATTTCCTCTTTTTTTTCTTTTTTAATCATTTTCCTTCGTATATCCCTACACTTTTGATTACAGGCATCCACAATCACCTGGTAGGACTTCTTCACCCTATCCTCACTATACTTGATATTGAGAACATCTAAACGATAAATAAAAATTGTCTCATAAAGCATAGTATGCATTATTTACCCTATCTCTAAGGTCTTCCCATGCAATTGGATAAGTTTATTGGACATGCGTTAATTAGAATAACAAATCGTCTTACCAAACGATTTGGTTACTCGTACAGCATCCAACGGTTCCTTGCTGGACTTGCTGCACTTGAACAGGATTCTATCCTGCAGCTCAGTTTCTGTAAAAATGTGGCTTAGCAATTTTATTGCACACTTCGCCGGCTCTTTTGGTGGTGCTTTAACGTTCATTAAATTTATATCGTTGTGCCACAAGAAGAAAAGAACATTAAAATTATGATTATGATACATGGCCAGTATGCGTATACCTAAATATTGTTCCTTTTACAATTTCACGATTGCCCTAATTGTGTATGATTAACCCTTTATTGCACGGATTATTTCGATTAGACTGAAGCACTAGGCTATGAGCATGTTAAATCTCGTGAAAAACTCATTTGAATTACAAAATGCGTGAAAGAAGAAAGCATAAGTGCTTTCTTACGGTGTATGCATGGATTAAAACAGCTTATTAGGAACGCATGTAAATGACGTGTTCCGTTCCTATTTCAAGAGGAACAACAGTTCAAACGGAACAAATTGTTCCTAGGTGAACTTAATTGTTCCAATTGAGTCACGTTCCGAATATCGGAACGGTTTGAATGAGGAACAATGTTAATTGTTGTTCCTTATTTAGGAACAAAAATGTTCCGCGCGAGGAATCCCTCAAACAAACGGAACTATTTGTTATGCACATGCAGGTGTTCCCTTTTTGTTGTTGCTACCCATTTATTGTTCCCCCCGTTTCTGTTCCCCTCTTATTGCCCCCTTGGCATATTAATTAACAATACATTTTACGCAGTGAAATACCGTGTGTATAAAAATAATAATATAAATAATGATCAGCATGCAATATTATAAATGCATTGTGCACCCAAAGTTAAGTATGCCTTATAAAAAGCAAGCAAATTTTCTTCGCATAGCATTCTTGCGTTTCATATGTTTGCACGTAGAAAAGGTCAAATAGACTGGAAGTCTGTTGATGGCGCGTTTACAAAGCCGAGACGATTGCATTTGGCTAAAGGCAGCGACGGGTTAGACCATTGCCCAGTAACAGGATGTGAACATTCAGGATTTAAAAGTCGAAGAGGTTGTCGTAAACATGTGAAAACAAAACATGCTTGGTATTTTTTTTTTGACGAGAAACTCAACGTTTCCCTTTCGTCGATTTCAAAGTCAGAACTGACTCAGGCAAAAGGGTGTAAAACAGTTCCGAGCTGTTCTGCACACAATGACTTTGCTCGCTCGTTCTCCAAGTGGCTTCAAAGCAGCTGCGGCGGTGGCAAATCTCTGAAACAATCGGACATTAGAGTTAGCAGAGCGTTAAAGTTTATAAAGTTTTGTTGTGACGAGAATGGCGAAGGCGAAGAAGACGTGCTAAATTCTCCTAATTTGATCGATTACGCTTTGGGATGTCCCCAATTGCTATCAAAATTCGTAGACAGTTTAAAAGAAAAGTGGGGTCTCGGACAATCGGCACAAATTTCGTACGTCGCAAGTATTTCTGACTTACTGGATTTTCGTAAATTTAATCGTCCCCCCGCGTCCGTGCTTCAAAACTTTGCCGTTACCGAGGTGTATATCAAGAGAGCAAGGAAGTATTTAGCAAAGGACATGAGATCAAATTGGACAACTGAATCAGACATAGAGACCCTGGAATCGCGCAGAAGTTGGGCAACCCTTTCCGAAGTTCAATCTTTAATTCCATTTCACGAGGAACGTTACAAATCTGTATTAGAAAATTGCATGGTGTCTCCTTCTTCAGTCAAAACTGGCGATGTTACATTTGCTACTCGGTTCGTTGCGGCGTATATGTTCTTGAAAGTCAAAGGTTGTCGTCCAATGACCTATCAGCATCTAACCTTGCTAATGTTCGAAAGTGCAAAAAAGAATGAAGGAATGGTGGATCAGAAATTATTCAAGACCGCAAAAAGGTACGGTTTTGATAGTGTATATTTTGACGAATGCAGCATCCAGTTGTTGGAGAATTATATAAAGTACGTACGACCCCTCCTAACGCCAACTTGCGAGTATGTGTTGGTAAATCGAAATGGAAAACAATTTCAGAAACTTACAGGTGTTTTCAGTGTTTTGGTGTTTGAAGCTATTGGTAAATACATTCACCCTACTATAGATACAGACAGATTATCGAGACGGAAAGTGCACAGGTTCTTTTACCAAACGAACAGAAATGGATATCTGAAGACCAAAAGCATAGCTCTAACGTTGCACGTGTTCACTATCAAAAGAAAAGATCTCGAGAAGTAGCGATGAGAGGGCGCCAGTGCATGCAAAAATTACTGCACATGCAGAAGTAATAGTTCTCACAATGAATACCAAAAGCAGCATCAGTCGTCATCTCAGGAAGACAATGTTTGCCAAGACATTGCAACTACTTTGTCGCACGTATTACCAAAACGGCGTTCAGGTGTTCGCTTTACATCTAAAGAAGACAATTGTATACGACTGGGCATTGCGAAATTTGGTTTACGTTGGACAACGATATTACGCGATCCTGAATATAATTTTAATGCATGTCGTGTTCCAAATAGTTTAAGAGAAAGGGCTGAAGACTTAAAATTAGTGTGACCTCTTAATGTACAGCGTTAATTACTTATCCAATACTTATGAGTATGAAATGAATGCATTTTGTAAACATTAATACAAAATATTCATTGCATGATTCTTGTTTATTTCTTCCTGTAACTCGTAAGTGTTTTCAGTACATAGAGACGGAAAATATTTGAGTCTTTCCAACGTTTCAAAAATCTATAAGCACCCAGTTCATTTTGTTCCTTGTCCCAATACAACTGCTACTGAACAAAAAAATGCGACTTGCTATACACGCTAGTGGCAATGATCTTCGTGAATAAATCTTCCAAGCTCATGCAGTTTAAGTTCACTAAAACAAACAGTGGGTTACGACTTTATTGTAGGGGATGGTAAAAAATCTTTCATGTACAATGCAATGATTTTTTACAGAATATCACTTAATTCCCAACTAAAAGCACCGGATGTTAATTTGTTCCTTAACGTAAGGTGCCTGAAAAAACTTTGGAAAAAAATTTCATCCATGGACCTCATGTTCCTGCATGGTGGTAGCCCGACGTTGAAATTCTTCTAGTGTACACTCGAATTAGTTTTCTCACTTTGTAACGGGCTACGGGCTACCAATAGAAATCCCTATTAAAACGACGGGCTACCAACGGGCTACCTGTCAAAATGACGGGCTATACCTCTTGCTGGTAGCCCGGCGTTGAAATTGTTCTAAGTGTCCACTCGAATTAGTTTTCTCACTTTCTAACGGGCTACGGGCTACCAATAGAAATCCCTATTAAAATGACGGGCTACCAACGGGCTACCTCTCAAAATGACGGGCTATACCTCTTGCTGGTAGCCCGGCGTTGAAATTCTTTTAAGTGTCCCCACTCGAATTATTTTTCTCACTTTGTAACGGGCTACGGGCTACCAATAGAAATCCCTATTAAAAGGACGGGCTACCAACGGGCTACCTCTCAAAATGACGGGCAACACCTCTTGCTTGTAGCCCGGCGTTGAAATTTTTCCAAGTGTAGATCCCAATTAGTTTTCTTACTTTGTAACGGGCTACGGGCTAGCAATACCAAGTCGCTGTTACTCTTTTAAAAAAACAATAAAATATATATATATATATATATATATATATATATATATATATCTATATATATATATATATAATATATATATATATATATATATACACTCTTTTAAAATATATATGTTTGTATATATATTATTATATGTAAAGTAATTCGAATGGACACATAGAAAAATTTCAACGCCGGGCTGCCAGTAAGAGGTATAGCCCGTAATTTTGACAGGTAGCCCGTTAGTAGCCCGTTGGTAGCCCGTCGTTTCAATAGGGATTTGTATTGCTAGCCCGTAGCCCGTTACAAAGTGAGAAAACTAATTCGAGTGGACACTAAGAGGAATTTCAACGCCGGGCTACCAGCAAGAGGTGTAGCCCGTCATTTTGAGAGGTAGCCCGTTGGTAGCCCGTCGTTTTAATAGGGATTTCTATTGGTAGCCCGTAGCCCGTCACAAAGTGAGAAAACTAATTCGAGTGGACACTTAGAAAAATTTCAACGCCGGGCTACCAGCAAGAGGTGTAGCCCGTCATTTTGACAGGTAGCCCGTCCGTAGCCCGTCATTTTAATAGGGATTTCTATTGGTAGCCCGTAGCCCGTTACAAAGTGAGAAAACTAATTCGAATCGAGACTTTGTTCACAGATAATTGACATGTCATGTTTAGTCTGTAAAAATATTTATACGCCGCATATAGCTATTCAGCTGAGATACTGGTTTTCAATGGGCCGTGGGTCACA